CTGGTATTTCTCCACGGCGCAGGGATGGGTTGTTTTTACACAGAACGTTTTGATGGCTGTCAGGAAATGGTGTCATTGTAGGAACAACTCCATTCAAACCTGAAAATTATTTACTTGATTTGGTCACAGCCAAAAAAATTCAGTACACAAAAATATTAGTTCCATGTTTGTTGCTCAGAAATCTGTGGATTAACAGTACCTGCAAGAGTTAGATTGGGTTTTTAATCTTTACTTTTCAGCAAAGATATTCTTGCCAGGGAATCTCCAGTACTGCAAAGGTTTAACGTGGTGTAACCTGTGTTAAATCAACACTGAATTTTCAGGTTATGAAGGGATTTATTGCATGAAACCATCCCATCCTTCAGTAGCCCTGATGAGCAGGCACCGAGGATGTGCTCGAGGTCCCACGAGACATTCCCACGTGCAAGGGGAGTTGTGTCCTTCCCTGGAAACCTGCGTGTCCATGAGCATCTCGTTCCTGGCATCCATGGGGCGATGGATTTGCTGAAGGCTGTGCTGCTTGGGCCACCTCTGCCACTGCCAGGGAATTGTGCAGCTGCTTCTGTCCCTCCACGGTCATTATCTCGCTTTATAAAAAGCCCCATGAAGTCAGCAGGAGTTCAGCGTCCTGTAGAATGGTTTTCAAAGAGCTGAAAGCCTGCCAGACTCTCGGAAATGAAAACTATTTAATGAATAAAGGTTTCTTACCCCTTGATCCCTCACTGCAGAGAAAAAGTGCATTAAGAAGCCTGGATCACTTTGGACAGGTGAAGGAGACAAAGGTGAGAAGTTCTGTGTGTGGCACTGGCTGAGGCTGTGCACAGAGGTGTGGGGGGCACCTCCAACCTTCCTGGTGTGAGGGCAGGGCACAGCTTTCCTTAGAAAAGGCCTACAGTTGTCTCAGGATCATGGAATCACAGGATGGTTTGGGTTCAAAGGGACATAAAGATACCCAGCTCCATCATCCATGGGCAGGAACACCATCTCTGCTCCAGCCTGGCATTGGACATTGCCAGGGATCCAGGGGCAGCCACAGCTGCTCTGGGCACTGTGCCAGGGCTTCTCCACCCTCCCAGCCAGGAATTCCCAGTTCCCAATATCCCATCCATTCCTGTCCTCTGGCACTGGAACCCATTCCCTGTGTCCTGTCCCTCCATCCCTTGTCCCCAGTCCCTCTCCAGGCTCTTCCTGAGCTCTCCTTGGAGCCTTCCCTTCTCTGGGTGAGCAGCCCCAGCTCTCCCAGCCCGGCTCCAGCTGTTCCTGGTGTGAGTTATCCAGGTAAGATCCCCATCCAGCCCGGCTCCAGCTGTCCCTGATGTGAGTTATCCGGTAAGATCCCCATCCAGCCCGGCTCCAGCTGTCCCTGGTGTGAGTTATCCAGGTAAGATCCCCATCCAGCCCGGCTCCAGCTGTCCCTGGTGTGAGTTATCCAGGTAAGATCCCCATCCAGCCTGGCTCCAGCTGTCCCTGGTGTGAGTTATCCAGGTAAGATCCCCATCCATGGCACTGGCGGCTCAGTGGGGTCAGTTCAGTTTGCAGAAGTTTCTGCTGCCTCAGGAGCTCCTGCAGGTTACCCCACTCAGGAGATGTCCCTTAGGAGAGTGTGGCCCAGAGCCAAGTGAGCGAGGAGAGGTGATTTGTGATGTTATCATTCCTTATTGTGATTAAATGTCCCTTTATTGGTGCAGTAAGGAAGTTTTATTTGCTGTGTTTTATTGTCTGCAGAGCAGTGGGAGCCCAGCAGATTCCTTGTGGCTGCTCAGTGCTGTTAATAATAGTGCAGAGAAGAATTACTCCTGGTGGCTGTTGTGCTGGTGACCTCAGTGCTGTGTTAGTGACCTTTCACAGAGCATTCTGCCCCTGGGAACTGCTGCTGCTGCAGAGTATTCCTGGCCACAGCCAGCATGTAGTCTCAATATTTTATGGACTGCTGCAGGTTGTATTTCAGGGTATGAGACACCACCCCAGCAATGCCAGTCAGGAATGTGAAGCACATTGCCTTTCCTCCCTCGTTTTACAGTCAGAGGTGTTTGAACTTTTCATATAAATATGTTCCTTTTAAATCAGCAGAGTGAGAGTATTTTAAAAAGAAGTCTGAGATGCAGCTTGCAGTTCTCTAAAGGCTGTGATGTCGGGCACGTGAGCTCTGGTTCTGCATTCTCCAGAGTGAGGAGACTGAAGGTGCATTCAGTGTCTATCAGTGGGAAGATTTGGTTATTCTGGGATTTCTTGACTAGATTCATTGAGCTTTGAGCTAAGTCTTGATCTTCTTTTGCAGCAGCTTCTGTGATCTTTGGACAATTCTTGTCACAGCCCATGAACTGCACATCTGATTTTCCATAGACTGTGGGAAGCACTCTGCAGTGGGGGGGAGTCAGAGGGGCTTGGCAGGAGAGGGGTCTGGAGGCAGGGAGGATCATGAGGCCATTTCACTGGAAACTCCACAAATGAACCCTGCACTAATTGGAAAACCCTTGGAATGGGGAAGAGTGGTAGTTTTCCTTCTTCTTTAGACAATTTTCTTTCTTTTGCCCAAGGAGAAAAAAGGTGAAAAGGACTCAATCACAATTTTACCTCAATCACCCCTTTGTAGTCAGAGTTTGTTCCCTTTTGGAATGAAAGCACGTCCTTGGTGGAAAAAGCTATGGAGACCTGGGGAGCAAATATTGGATTTCTTCCCTCACTCAAGGCACAAACATCTTTCAGCAGTATCAGGCTGAGCTGGAAAAGCAGCAGAGCTGACTGCAGAATGAAGGTGATGCTCTGCTCACAGTTTCCAAGTTTCTGTTCAGCCCTGTCCCTCCATCCCAGAGGATTTACAGCAGGGAATGTCTCTGTGTTGTAGCTGTGTTAATCCACCCCTTTGTTGGTGGCTGTTGGGGTGATGTGGGAAGTTGTTGGCAGGGCTGCACAACCCCACGTGAAACCTTCCTGCTGCTGAGCTTTGGTAGAAATGTGAAGATTTATGAAAGGATCTGACCGTGCTCTGGGATAGAAATGAACCTGGCCCACGTTATCGTTTCGCCATAAATACAGAACCAACAACTCTGCTCTAAATTCACTGCAAGGAGTTCAGTGAGGAACCAGGGGAGGGATGCAGGATTTGGAAATCAGTAGGTTTGAAAAATTGAGGTGAAATTTGAGGCTGGCACACTGTGAGAAATCTGGAATGTGTCCTCATGGCATATCTGGGGTCGTGTGTGGGCACCTGAGGGGGAGCACCAAGAAGGAATTTCTTCCAGGGTGGAATATTCCCAGAAGGAATTGTATTTCCTGAGGAATAACCCACCCTGGGGAGGGGAAAGCACCATCAGTGCAGCTGGTGCAGTGAACCAGGCTGCTCCCAGCCCCATCCAACCCGGCCTGGACACTCCCATGGATGGGACAATCCCAAACAGATCAATCTGCTCATACAGCAACATCTCTCACTGTAGCTGCTGTAATGATTTGAAGAATGGTGCTAATAATGGAAAAGTGTTGTCTTTAAAGGATAAAAGAGCTGGGTTATTTTATTGCAGAGTAGTGAGGCAGAGGCTTGTCCAAAGGGACCAAGTGTGGGAGGCAGGGTAAGAACTCTGGCTGCCAATCAGGGCTTTTCATTGGCATTTACAGCTCATGTTTGTACCTCTGTCCTAAAAATATAAAAGTTTATTTGTCTTATAAATAGCAGGAAGAAGAAAAGAGTTGAGAAGAATCTCACCTTCCTTTCCTAGTTTATAGTAACTGATACTAATATTCCAGAACCTGAATATGTTGAGTAGGGTGCTGTATCTCAGCTTCCCTCACCAGCTCCCAGTCAGAGCTGGCTTTGAATTCTTGAGGACATTTGCCTTTGCTGTATCTTCTTTCTGATGAGCATCTGTGTCTAAGACCCTGTGGCTGTCTTGGGAACATTAGCAGGGGAGATAAATTAGGCTGTTTGACATCATCTTGTGGATAAATATTTTCTTTTAGGATTCTCAAAGGCCCTAAGTAAAGAACAGGGGAGGCTGTGACAGATGCTGTCATGTGAAGAGAACTCTCCTCGTGCCAGTGGCCCCAGTGAATATCTTGTGTCGATTTACAGGATCTTTTACACCCTGATTTTATTCCTCAGTGGTGGGGAGTTTAAAAATTAACCTAATTTTTAAGTTTCTACAACCAGCTGGAGGTGAATTTGTTCATATGATTTCTCTTTGCTTTACCAAATCTTGTAACAAAAAAAGTTGACCAATATTTGGCACCGTGTTCTTCTTTTCAGTTTGGGTTTGTTTGTATTTTGTCCCCACTTTGAATCATCTTTTGATTCAGTCTTTGAAATATTCTGCTGGGACACTTTCAATATTGAAAAGTTTGGGCCTCTAATCAAACAATTTGATCAGTGAGGCCACAGTTCCTTCTCTGGAACTTGGGAAGCATAAAATGAATTTTAGTTCCATATCAATATTTCTTTATTCCTCCTCTTTTCTTTATTCCTCCAAGTCTTCTGGAGTTACAGCAGCACAGTAAGTGTTTACACACCACACAGCCACTACCTTGTGCTGCTGCTCACCCCATATCAGCCTGTCAGCATTAAAAAATAAACCTGAAGATCACTGGAGGTGATCTACTCACTTTGATTCATGGCCCCCAAGAATATTATTTGTTATGATCTAATCCTTTCTATTAATACTTTGAGAAAGAGGATGAGCAGCACTGAAGTAAAAGTAGAATTCTTTTAAAAAGTAGAGCATGTATCCTTTCCTAAAAACCTTTTTTTTTGTAAGCCAAGACCAGATCTCTGGCAAGGTCTGTGCTCCCAGCCTGGTTTCATCCAGAAGAACAAAAATTGGCCAGCTGTAAAAATGGAGGGGTCAGAGAAGTAGATGTATATTTAATTTGAAGACAATCCTTTGCATTTGTCCAACCAAGCCCTTCCTAATTTTTGGTAAAAATGCTCTCTGTGGTATTTCCATACATGAAACCAAAAGGTGCTGGGGCAGAATGGGGAATGGTGAAAAGAATGAGAAAGAACTCACTAGTGGTGTGTTAAAAATAGAGACAGTGGCACAAATATGTATTTAAATGTCCTTTTGCAATGATACAATGCTTGTTAAAGCCATTGGGCATGTCAGAAGGTTAAATATAGCACCTGGGATGTCAGGACATTTATCCATCATACCCTGAGAGACTCCTGTTGGATAAGCAGGACTGATTGAACTCAATATTTAAACACATTAAGCACAATAAAATATTTTTTTTCTTTAAATCTTTGTGATTGAAATGCAAACCAGAATCTTTTTGTGCCCCAGTAGTTTTACAGCATTCTGTCTTTAGCTCAAAATTGCTGAGCATGTGCTCATTTATGTGCTGTGGATAAATCTGGCCTGGGGGGTTAACCTGGGGCAGAGCTGCCAGGCTCCACCTAGGGCACAGTTAATGCTTTTGAAACATTCGTCCCCCAGAAAGTCAAGTTCACATTGTCACAACAAAGTTAAAAGCTGGATTTGATGATCTTGGAGGTCTTTGGCACCCTCAATGATTCTATGGTTTTGTGAATATTCTATCAGAAATCAGAGTCAGACATAAATTTGCACAACAAAGCAACTTAGAAGAAAAAAGGAATATTAACCATTAGTATTCCCTTTACCTCATACATATTTGGAACAGGGAGGTTTGGAATCCCCATCCCTGGAGGTGTCCAAGGAATTCCTGGAGGTGGCACTCAGCGCTCCGGGCTGGGGACACGGTGGGCATTGGGCACAGCTGGGACTCCATGGGCTGGGAGAACTTCTCCAGCCTCAGTGATCCTGGGATTCTCCTTGCCCACGCCATGGCAATAGTTTTGTCAGAGCTGTTCCTTGAGATTTGGAGCTGAAGGAGCAAAGCAGCAAAATGCAGGAATTGAAATATTTTCTCAAGTGACCCCAGAGCACCCTCCTCCCCCTCTTCATGCTCTGATATCAGAACAAAACCTTATGTTCAGCCTAACTTTTCATTTCACCACTAATGTTTTCATTCCTAGCCCCCTTCTGTAACCCCCATGGGTTATTCCATGCTTTTTTTCCAGCCTGAGCTGTGCTGCTGAAGATCTGCCACATTTCACACTAAAGACAGCTGCATTTCAGTGGCACAAAAAGTGCTGCTGGCATCCTGCATGTAATTTTAGCCTTGTTTGGTGTCTTTCTAAACAAGATATCAGCAGTGTAAAATGGTCTGAAGGTGATGTTCCAGAACACAGGGTTTGCAGAGTATCACTGAGGGAGAAATTTTTTGCAGGAACTCCCAGGATTGAGCTGGAATGACAATAATGAATTACATGTTCGGTAAGGAAAGCTGGCCCTTCACTCCATTAAGGTTTGCTGGTGATAATGAAGATGTCACGTTTTGCATCCAATCTAGTGAGAATCAGCACTCCAGAGGAAAAGGGGCCTGTGGGTTATTTCTGGAATGCACAGACGGAAGATCAGGATCAGAGAGCAGCAGGTTACGCTGATGTTCCTCTCCAGAGACTCCACCAACACGCTGTGGTAATTCCTGGACAATTTCAAAAGACGGTAATAAACTTAAATAACAGAAATCAGATTAAAAGGGGAAGGATTGCCTAGTGAAGCAAAATGCAGAGTAATTGAAAATGGCGTGGCCAGAGGAGACAGGGAGGGGTCTGCAGCTCTGGGCAGAGTCTAAAATACTTGGCAGTAGTGAATGAGATATGATATTTCATCTGGATATAAATATGAACTTCTGGAAAGAGTTAAGGAAAAAAATGTCTCTCAAGGGCTCCTGACAGTCATTTACTGAATTATGTGATCTAGCACATGGAAAAGGACCATTGTTGATATTGGCTTTTGAATGCACCTCCTTGAAGAACCAAAGTCAACTCTATTTGTCAGTTGAGTGATCCCCTAAGAAGTCACGTCTGTTATCATCACCCTGATTCTGCTCCATACATCATGGCGTTCCTGACCTTCCAAAATACCAGGGTTGCTCCCCTGTCACTTAATCTGTTTATCAACTCTTCTTTGACTTCCTTCACCAGGGATGTTGGCTCTTTGTTGGGTTCCTTCCTTGCAAACAGGTGCTTTTCACACGTTCCTTAAGCGATAAAATGTCTTGAGCAATAAAAATATTGTTGCACGATTTGCATCAAGGTGAAAAAGCACTTCAGGTGTACTTACGGGCTGAAATTAAAGATGTTTATACTAAAATTTAGTTTGCAGTGTGGACTCCTCAAGTTCAGAGATTCTTTAATTTGGATGGTGTTTATTCAGGCACATTATAGGAATGAAATTGCCTCCATCAGTTGAAATTCAGTGTTATTATCCACTCTGATAATTGCATTTTTCCATGGGAGCAGTCCCTTGGGTTTTTCTGGGGCTCCACCTCACCGAGCCCTGGTGAGCTCCAGCCAAGCTCTGGTGTGTTTTGGGTTTCCTGAGGAGCACGGAGGTGCCCAGCTCCCTTTCCCTGATGCTGCTGAGAACAGGTGGCCTCCCTCGGGGTCACCGAGTATATTTAGGGCTGAAACTCGAGCGGGCTGGAACCAGATTGGCTGTGTGGGCCACAGGCGTCACCGGGAGCCGCTGAACCCCTCGCTCTCGCCCAGTGCTGCTCAGGAGGGAAGACTGGAGAGCCTTTGCTCCAAAGGATATTTACTGGATGTCACTGGTAAGAACATTTTAAATGCACTTCTTTTCCTTAGAAGAGGATCTTGAGCTGTTTCCCCATTCTGTAGTTTTTTGGGAATACTTGTTGTGCTTTGCCCATGGAAGTCGGGTTTTCTGTCTGAATAATTGGCTGCAGTTTGGAGGAGGAGGAAAAGACCTGGAATGGGGTTTGGAAGTGTGGCTGAAGTGTTGTAACAGTGACAGGTTGAAGAAGGTTGTGTTTATATGCAAACCCCACTTCTTGAGTTTATTCATACACCTCGGCCTACTGTTCCATGTGACTCGTTACTCATTATTTGAGTCATTCTTAATTTATTTTAATAGTTAACAACATGCTTATTCCAATTCATTTTTTGGCCATTTTTCTCAGCCCACTGGGACTAAAAAGGGCCAGTATTCTGTGTTCCTATATTTAACCTGAATGACTTGACTTCCCTTGCCTCAGAAGGAATTGCAGTTTAGCCAGCTCAACCCAACCGCCCCATCAGTTGGCAGGATTAGCTTACACGGCAAATATCCCTGGACTCAGGAGCAGCTGTTCCAAAGCCTCATCCCCTCCCAACATTAGAAACAGGGCTGCAGACTCTGGTGGAAAATTGTAGCTTTGCCTCACAGCAAAATCAGTGTGTTAATTAATTCGTTCAAAGGTTCTGACACTAATCTGTGCTTTGTACTTCAGCCAACTCTATGGATTTTCATCTTTTCCAGGTCTGAAGGAAGAGAGAGAAAAAAACCCACAAGAGATTAAAAAAACAACCCCAGAGCATCTCTGTAGGCTGATGCTGGGAAGACAGAAATTGCCTCATTAACCTAAGGTCACTTAAAAAAATATTTACAATATTTTTCTACATTATGCTCTTACTTATGAATGAATATAGTAGAATATAAATCTCCCATTCAAATGTGAGCTTGAATGATATAATAGAATAGCATAGAATAGTCACAGAGGAAAAAAAAATGCTTCAAATAATTCAGTTGTAATGAAAATATCACATCATGTTTCAAGAAATCTCTTTTTTGTTTTCTCTTTTAATTTCATTTATCTCTTTTATTTTATTTTCATTGGTTCCAGTGTTGGTGTTATAACTGGAATGAGGTATTTGTCCAAAATTGTCATTTACATCAGTATGTTTGAAACTTAATCCAAAACAGTTCAAGTAATGCCTGATCCCAACTTTATTTAGGGTCTGGCTAGTTACTAACCATGACCCCAAGTGCTTTATGAACTTGACTTGTACCTTCTCATGGTACTTTCAGTCATGGGCTAATACTGTTTATTCACATTTTCACCTGCTGCGTGACCAGAGTTGAGGAAAGACAGAAGCAAACCCTCAGAATGGAGGAAGAAGAATATGAGGAAGTTGTGGAGGTAAGAGGAATATGTGAGAGTGGAAATGTTTGTTTCCTGCCTTGTGACTGAATACATTAATCACCTTACTGAGATGCTGCTCAGGAGCAGAGGCTGCTGTTTGCTCTCTGAAGATTAGGGATGATTAGATATCTATTAAATGATTTCATCAGTAAAACAACAACAACAACAGTTGCTCTCAGTGGAGCAAAGTCTCCTGGTTCCTGTCATAGTTTCTCAGTTTAAATAAGGACTGGAACCATCCCACACTCACAGTGCGAGGTTTTCTGATTACTCTCCGTGTAATTATAGATGCCCTGGGCCAGCTCTTTTCCCTCCTGGCTTGCCCTCTGTCACCCAATCCATGCTGGAGAAGATGACTTTGGAAGCCCCTTTCTAGCCCTGCCTCTGCAGAAATGCAGCAGCTTTGTGCCACCAGGGGACCACAAACCAATTTAGCCTGAGACGTTACAGAGATGGAGCCAGGTTTAAGTGACAGCACAAGGGGGGAGGACTTTAAACTGACAGAGGGTAGATTTAAATTCGGTATCAGGAAGAAATTCTTCCCTGTGAAGGTGGAGAGGACATAGCACAAGGCTGCCCCTGGATCCCTGGAAGTGTCCAAGGCCAGGCTGGAGCAGCCTGGGAGAGTGGGAGGTGTCCCTGCCATGGCAGGGGGTGGAATAGAGGATCTTTAAGGTCCCTTCCAACCCAGGGCATTCTGTGATTCCATGATTCTTTGTCCATGGAAGTGCATCATGGATTAATTTGCCAGTATTTAAACTCACAGGTGGATGCTGAATTATTTAATCTCAGGAAACTGAATAAAAAAATTCTCCAGGAGCTGGGCAACCTACAGCTGGAGCCACTGGAACAAGGACTTTGTTATTGAAAGTATACAAAATTCACAGCGTGGTCTTACTTGTTGCATTGCTACTACTTTGAAATTAACTTCTGTGTTATGAAATACACAAAGTCTTGTATAAAGTCACTCAGTGTTTGAGGAAAAGAACAAGAGTATAAATGTAAACATCCTACAAACAACCCATTGCCACCATGCTGTGTTCAGCGAACTGTTGATTTCAGGTGGTGTGAGGACACTGCCGGCTTTATGTACTTCAAATAGTGAATGAAGTAAAGCCAAATGATTTGCTAGTCAGAGCAGTTAAATGCATTTTGCAAAATAGGTGTCAGCACTCATAAAGTCGATTTTAAAGACATTTTACTACCCAGCTACCACAACACCAACCATTCATTAAATTTCTTATTCTCATGTTACTTGTAATTGACTTCATGTTTCCTGTGCATTGTGTGCTCTCTGTAATGGATATTTATTTGCTCTCATTGTTTATTTATTCCAGCAGGACTTATGGTATTTTTGACTTCCTTTTCACACAGCCCCATTTCATCCTTTGTTTTTAATTTTCAATGGCCACCTTGCTGTAACCACATCCCTTGGGCTGAGACGCACTGCTTTAGTAGATTCCCTTGGGATACTCGTGGTGAGATGCTAAATAAAAGAAGAACAACAGCATCTGGTAGAATTTTAGAAGCCTTTCCAGAATTTTCTTAATCCCTGTATCAATCCAAAATTTTAAACCTATAGGTTCTATCAGAAATTCATCTTCTGAAGGAGGACAGATCATTGAATATTGAGCAGATGAGGCATCGCCAAGGATTTTAAGATGATATTTTTTTATCTTTCTCTGGAATTATGAGCCATTACTGGATGTTGTAGCTGTCTTGGGATTTGCAAAAATCTACAGTGACTGATACAAGCATTTGCTGCCAAGTTACTTGAGGATTTGTGGAAGGTTTTATATAAAGTTCTACAGTGACTGATACAAGCATTTGCTGCCAAGTTACTTGAGGATTTGTGGAAGGTTTTATATAAAGTTTGTGGAAGATTTTGCAGGGGGGTTTGTGGAAGGTTTTGTGGAAGATTTTGTAGGAAGTCTGTGGAAAACTTTGTGGAAGATTTTGTAGAAAGTTTGAGGACGGTTGTGTAGAAAGTTTGAGGAAGGTTTTGTAGAAAGTTTGAGGAAGGATTTGTAGAAAGTTTGAGGAAGGTTTTGTAGAAAGTTTGAGGAAGGATTTGTAAAAAGTTTGAGGAAGGTTTTGTGGAAGGTGGTGTTGAAGGTGGGTCCAGCATGGAAATTACCTCACAGCAGCCCAATATGTCACAGCTTGGGAAGAACAGCTTGGTCACTTGAACTAACTTTGAGGAAGAGCTCTCAGAAAGGGGCTTAAATTTCAACGAGAAATTTTATAGGTTTCAAAGTGTTTTCCATTCCCGCAGTAGTGACCCCAAGCAATTACCACACTCGGAGGAGATTTTCCAACATAAACGCCGCATTTTCCCATTTTTTTTTGTGCAGGTGAAGCACATCCCGCAGACAGAAGGTGCTGTTCCTGCAGCAATGTCTTTAAAAGTGTTTTTTATCGTCATTTCTGAGCGGGGCAGGCGCGGGAGGCCGAGGCCCCGGC